ATAACCATTCACCGCACAGAAACACAATAATATTATTGGTTATGTCTTATCTGGACTACATGTTATCTTGCCTTTTATAATAAGCTGCATTCTGGCAGAATGTTGCTCTGTACATAGTGTCCATTGTAGTGCAAGGCATGCTGTGAAATGCTGTACAGTATGCGAGCAATTTCAGTGTAGCCACATATCTCAGAGTGTTCCCTGCCAAACTGCATTAAAAGGACTTAGTTCTGTAACATAATGTACTGTAAGTTTGGCTGCTTTTACTGTCCTAAAAATGCACACAGCATCCACTAGGGCTTAATAATTGCACATTTTATACCTAAATCTGTGGATGTTGCATTTTCTTTTCACGCTGCAGGTTATCTGTTGTCATGTAATTGGCTCTTAGAAGACAGTTAATGAGCTACAAGGCAGAGGGGCACTTTTAATAAGAGCTGCAGAAAGGGAGGTACGGCTCACATTAGCACTGATTATTCTCTTATAGACTTAATTGGTTGTGATAATAAACCCTCTCATTATTGAAATGAATATGCCCTGCTGTTAAACAAATGTGACCAGCTGATTAAAAGTAACTTTGTGTGTTTGTTCTCGCATGCATTGAGTTGGTCAGATTGCACACAGCAGCCATGCATGCATAAAAGACTGATAAGAAAAAGATGCACTACACTACGTGAATGGACACTAACAAGAAGTGCAGATGCCCTGGTTCCCTGAGAGATCCACCCTGGAGAATAAGGTTAATGTGTTGTATTTATATTACCTGGGTCCATATGTTCCCAAGCCCATTAATCTTTTATTAAAAAATATTAGGAGATTTTTTAAAAAGGTTTTCTGTTCTCAGCAATATTTTTTCCCAAGGGCAAATGTTTAATAAAAGTTTCCCTGGGTCAATACGCTGTAATTGCTGACCAACAGCTTAAAGTGTATACTGATATGATACTCCTTGAAACCTACACCTTTAAATTCATGGGGACAGTCCTTTCCAATCGTTTACAATGTTAGATAATATCAAGAAAATAGGGCCCCAGGACCATTGGGAGGACCCTTTTAACAGTAGCATTTCCACCATCTCGCACGTTGTTTACAGAAACGAGATTGGAGTTGGAATAGAGGGAAGACTTCTATTACAAGACAGTTTGGTAACACTTTATATTAAGGTACACAAATTAACCATAAACTAGTTGTTAATTAACATGCATATTAGCAGTATATATGTATTAGTCATTATAAAACACTTAGTAATGCCTTATTCTACATGACCATATTCTACAAGCAATAGGCCATTAGTTGAGAGTTTTTCCTCAATAACCCTCTAATTAGTGCTTATTTATTGCAAGTAAGGACGTTGTTGTACATGAGTTTTGGTCTTCAAAGTCAAGTCAAAGTCAACTGTATTGGCAATCTCAAAATATGTTTGTACACACAGAAAGATCGAAATACTGTTTCCCACTNGGTTCCGTTACAGCCTTGTGTGAGCGAACGGGCTATACAAAAGAGAAAAGATGCAACTTAGGTGCTGTTTACACGGGAACTAAACGGGTTGTATCCGCTACTTTTCTCTTTTGTATAGCCCGTTCGCTCACACAAGGCTGTAACGGAACCGCGGAAACGGACCCCTAAAACGATAACATGTGTACGTCCTATACGATAATTTCCTGATAACGATGAAGCCATAGCCCCGCCTCTCCCACCAGTGCTCTCGACTAACTTTTTTCACCATCCTCCCGGAACCGTCCCGAAATACAATCTAAGCCGTCCCGAAATTAATGTGGACCGTCCCGAATTTAAAATATTAGTTTTTCTACTACTTATCATTAGTTAAAATCATTCAAAGTGACCTTTAACATAAATAAAACATCATACAAATCATTAGATGATAATTCATCAACCTTTTTATTTGAGTAAATCAGTGACAAAGGCCAAATATATTTAAACAAACACACAAACGAGAAAATGACTAATATTGAATCAAATCAAGTCCCATCCAATTAACAAAAAAAATCCAACACTGTCCTGAAGACAGAACCCAGAGTAACCACTAACCTGGAGGACAGTCTGTAACACAGTCAGGAGACCTTTACAAACTGCCCCGCCCCCTCGCACACAGACGGGAGAGAGAGATCTCGTCTGGATTGGAAAGCTCGAAAATACATCATAGACGCATGTTGTAGTCTTATTGCATATTAGAAACGGAGTTGGATAAACTAGAACTGCGATATAATGTTTATGTAGCAATACTACATATGACATATATTTTTTAAATGTCTCCAGTACCGATAAAAAGTCAGATAACATCGGAGCTTAACGTTACCACTGTCTTTAATAATTCCGGCCCGGGCTGAGCCCGTTTAATACCGGGGCTCGGTACCCACCATACATAGGGAGAGGCGCAGCATATTGCTAAGGACTAAATACGATGGAGGGTTCTCATCTCAGCCTTATTACCCATAGTAGGGGATGAAGAGGAGTAAGTAAATAAAGAGGCCGGCGCTCCAGGGTCTGGTTCTGCTGTGCGTTTTTGTGATGTAACGGTAAAACATTTCAGAATTCCTCCACGGGATACCATTGTCATTTTACATCACTCAACCCGCGAAATACACACACTCAGTACTTAGCTAGACCCGCGAATTTGCGGGCCAGGAATTCGCGGGCGCAGCCAGCTGTGCGACTGGCTGACAGCCAGCGGCGCAGCCAGCTGTGCGACTGGCTGACAGCCAGCGGCGCAGCCAGCTGTGCGACTGGCTGACAGCCAGCGGCGCAGCCAGCTGTGCGACTGGCTGACAGCCAGCGGCGCAGCTGTAGCTACGTACTGTGTGTGTGTGTATTTCGCGGGTTGCTAAATGTTTTGTGCGTGTGTTTATGTTGACAAGGAGGTTTAATAACTGTGTGCTACACAAAACGTGCAGTCGGTTTCATTTTAATCGCCGTTTGTAGTAGAGTTAGCAGGGTCTTTTTATTTTAATTCTCGCCCCAAATTCGCCCCAAAATTATTTTTTATCCTCCCCGACACTATTTTTTCGACGACGGGACGTCCTTAAGCTCGAGCCCTGATTGAACCAAGGAAGTGCATTGTTTTTGTTTTTTCCACTCTTCATTTTTCTGCAGAACATCTGCACTAAATCATGTAGCTTGGTCGCAAACATTTGGCTGTCTGTTTCTACACTGCTCCCAGTTAGCATACTTTCCCAGTCATTCTGTTGCACAGCTTGCTCCAAGTTTGCAAATTCATTTTTTGGTATTCTTAGTTGTTCCAGAGGTTTGTAAGAGTGGTGGAACCGTTTTTGTGAGTTTTCTGGATATTAATATTAAGTTGTGGTCAGATAGTCCGGTGATGAAATTAAATGTTTTATCCACTCTCTCAGGTTTATTACTTAATATTAAGTCTATTTGTGTCTGTGAGGATGAGGTTATTCTGGTTGGTCCTTCTGTCATTTGTGTTAAGTCTAAACTATCTGTGATTTGCTTAAGGGCTTTCCTACTTGTCTTGTCTAAACAGTTACAATTCAGGTCACCAAGCAGTATTAATTCTGTTTTGAAATCACATGCTTTAAGAAGTTTTTTGAATGTGGTGTAGAATTCATTATTTGAAGATGGTGGGCGATAAACAACAATGAGCACAAATGACATTTCAGGGGACAGCATTATTTTTAATCCAAGACATTCCAAGTCAGACTCAGAATTCTCAGAAATGTGATCCTCACATTCTGAAGCCTCTTCCTCTTCCTCTACATGATCATCAAATGGTTCCCTTTCATCCAGAATCATTTGCAAGGCCCTCTGAGCAGAGAATCTTTTGAACCAACTTGATCAGTTGTGATAAGGACCCAAACTGGCGAAGCTTTATTTATTGTGTCTTGCCCCAAATGTGCAGCTTGAATAGAGTGTGAAAAAAATAAAGATTGGTTGAGAGCAGACAGGTGTCGGTGCTGGACTTTATCAACAATGTTGCAACCTTGTGAGGGAATTGCAGGGGCAGAAACCAAAAAGTCTCACACACACACACACACACACACACACACACACACACACACACACAAGGCCCAGACAGGTGCACAGGACCTACAATCTCCAAACTTTAGTTAGCCGCGGGTCCAGTTGACCCGAACACCCTGTATGTAATGTAAATGTGTAGGGGGGGTACAGTGGGTGGTCATTGAAAATGTGTTCACAGAAAATGAGCCAAGGCCATTGAGTGTGGGTTTGAAAACATTATTTATCATATCATTTTTCTTTAACTAAATAATGAAAACGGGTCCCACAGACCCGAATACCATACAAAGGTTACATTATTATTTTATATGTAGGCTGCTGGTTCTCTTTCACATAGTTAATCACATTTCTACAGCAGTCCCGAAAGGATAAACCAACAGGTCCTTTTGCTTTCTGTTTGAAGTCCAGGTTTTCTGAGAATATGATTATCAGTTTTCGGATACCCACCTCTGCAGATGCCACTAAATCTGGTCCTTGAGGTTGTTTTTGGTACTCTGAAGTTTATTCTTACCATCCAAAGATGTTTGAAAAGTTTATATTTTCATTTCACAAGTTCAACTTGATACAACCAAGATTTTGATGTAGTCAAACAAATTGCTGATTTTATCTTTGTAGTGGCCATGAAACGGTAATGTGAGTTTTATCTGAGTTTTTTTCCAATAAACAGGAGTATGTGTTGTGGGAACAGAACAAGAGGTTCAGACTATCCATAACATAACGTGGCTCTTGTATCAGAAAAAGATGATATCCCTGAAAGGTGGAGTCAGCAATTCTGGAGAGAGATTATTGATCATTGAACTCAACACAAATGTAAACTTCTTTATTTCAAGGTTCAAGGCTTTTATTAGCCATACGTACATAGCTACAGTGTAGTTATGACGATGAAAATCTTAGGTCACAGGCTCCTCCAACAGTGCAACACAATAAAACTGAAAAAATAGTGCAAGTAAATACAAAAAAGAAAATGTCCTGTGATTTGTCGTAACTAATGATCTTCCCCGTCTCTGTCAGGTGGCATCCCATTCGTGCTGACAGGGGAACTGTTCGAACAGTCCTACAGACCTGCCGCCTTCATGATCGCTGGAATAGTGAACTGGCTGTGTAACTTTGCTGTGGGCCTCCTGTTTCCATTCATTCAGGTGAGTTACCTCATCCAAATCTCTGCATGTACACACTGTTAGGGTTTGGAGCTTCTTTTGGAGGCAGTTCAGTTCTGAGTTACACAGCAATGGACACAAGTGACATTTTCTAAAAGAGGCGTTACACACAGGTCCTTGTTGGCCACTTAACCTTTCGCAGCCCCTCATTATTCCCTGCAGTGGCTGCTTGTCACAGCCTGTTGCTCTCCACCACCTCTTTACTGGACTCTCAACATATTTGCAATTAGATGTTTCTGTAGTCCCTCCATCACATGTGTATTTATATTATTTGTATATAAGTACTGAGCTCCAATGATTGTGCTTTGAAAGTTCATCGAGTGTTCCTGCCTGAACTTCCTGTACGCTTTTGAATTTGATTGAACATCAATACTGTTTTACACAAACAAGCTGTATTGAATGCCTTTAATGAATCATACTTTAAACCTATGGCGTAAATCTTACGCTGGGGTTTTTCAGTTTTTGTGCGGAGAGCTTTAACATTCAGACCTGATATAACACTATGGATCATAAATATGAAAACTCCAGTCCTACTCCCTTTACTGTGAGTGAGTGTGATCTGCTGTCAGGGCAGCGAGGAGCGGCAGCTAAAAGGAAGGATGAAGAAGGATGAAGAAGGATGATCCCCCGGGCATCTGCTTTTTTTATAACTAGGATTACAAGATATTGTTTTTTATTTCCCCTGCTAAAGTGGGAATCGGTGAATTTTTCAGCTCATAAATGTCTGATATTGGCAGTAAAACATACTGTACAGGGGCACTCACCCATTTAAAACACATTATGTTCTGTCCAGTTATCTTTGGGTATAAGCAGAGGTATTTAGAGTGAAGTAAAAACCCGTTGATGCAATCTGGGTCATTGGGGTGTAATGTAATGTAATGTAACAGCATATTGTGAAGTATCACTAACCAAATGTAAAACATCTTCACTTCAATATGTAATAACACCCACACTAAAATGTCATGTTAAACAAACATTGCAAATAGTGTTAATACACTTAATAACTATGTTATAACCTGGTATAAAGCAACCACAATTGAACATGTATTTCATTTATTCAAGCATGGGTCTTACTGACTCAAAATAAACATTTTAAAATACAATTCTGTGGAGGAAATTCCACACAAAATCAACCTCTTTGGTAAGAAATTAACAAATAATAGAAGTTTAAAGCAACGTTTTGTTATTTAATAAAGTCAATAAAAGTAAACGCATTTAACAGAGTTCATCGATTTCTGCTAAAAAGACAGAGTATTGCACCAACAAGGTAGTACAAGCACTTTATACACTGAAAAACAAAGGAAAGGGGAAGGTCGTTCAATAAATTGGTAGATTATATTTTACTAGCCGAAACTAAAGTGTCACAATTTTCCTAAGCCTTCCTAAAAATATAACGTATGCAGGCAAAGATATCATCCATCCTTATCGGTTATTACATAATGCATGCGTGTTTAATAACCAATCATGTATTACAAATTACGTTAAAGTGGATTATAAATTGCATTATAAAACGGACAAGTCAAATCAAGCAATCTGATTGGTTCTTAGCCGTGATATACTGAGCGTATACCACGGGTAGAATTGTAAATTACTTTTCACAACAAGTCAGTATCCCTCCGCGTCTGAGAAAAACCGTATACAGTTGGGCTGAAAAGCAAACTGACATAGACATCAAACGGCAAAACATATTCAGTGTGCAGTTCCTTTGGCATTAGGGCAGGGATATCTAGATACTTTCCAGGCTTTGACATAATGAATTGTGCTACTTTTAAAGCAAGCAACGATGTTTTCAGATCTGCTTCGCGTCAGGCCGAACCACGCCCCTTAGCTGTGATATAATGAGCATATACCACGGCCTGTCGTGAGCTATTGCTTAAGTAAATTACAACCGAAAACAGGTGTTATTAACACAATGAAGTAAAATGTATTCGATTTTTGGTCATTTACAACAGCTATAGTTATGTTTTTTTAAATGTTTTTGTATCTATTTTATATGACTGTTATATTGACTAAATTACTTAACATGTTTCAGATTTGTTCAGATGGTTTTTCTTTCAGTTCTTACATATATTGGTAAGAAAGGTACATGATGTTGTGTGAGCGGTGTCAGAGCGTGCGCTGTAGCTGAACAGATCCAGTGTCAGTGGACGATGAGCTGCTGCCGGGCTGCTTTGCCGCTCGGCCTTGTAAGCAAAATGTTGCTGGTGAAATGTGAGACATGACAGGAAAGCTGAATATGAAGTATTCAGAAGCGCTTTTAGAGCCTGATAGGAGATGTAGTGGTTGCTGGCTGCTTCTTGATTATTTTTGGTTCGATTAAGGACATATGTAGTTTGTTTACCGGCAGAATTGAAGTACATAGCTGTTTTATCTTAGAATAATATGGCCCGAAAAACATTTGCACCTATTAAGCATTTCAAAAAACACCTGATGAAAGAAACCCTTCTAGGTAAAAACACTCATCAATGAAAGCAGAGATACACAGAATAACAGGGGTGAGGGCCAGACTTTGTCTCTTTTTTAAATGAACGAATCATAAGTGCTCCTATACTGGCATTAAAGGATATAGCAGCTACTTCACCCTTGTGTGGTACAAAGTCTGAGTGTCTTTGAATGGGAGCTGAGAGACATCTCTACTTTGAGAAGGGTAGTTGTGTTTTTTAAGAGTACAATAAAAGAAATTCAACTGACAAGAGCTTATTAGTGTCTGACACTGGAATGTTTTTTCTGGAAACAGCAGGGTCCTCTTTCAATTTTAAAACCAGAGTGCAGCTTCAGGCGGCTCCACATCACTGCCTCTTCTCATTTGACCTCCTCTCTTTTTCCCTCCGTGCCTCTCCTACCCTCTTTCTTTGGCCACACGGCTTATTTGTTCCTTTTCTCAGACACTCTCTCTCACTCTTTTTACTTACCACTTTGTAATCTCTTTAATGAAGATAACCTCTTAAGAAAATATAGTGTTTGTTCAACTTTGAATTGGGTTTTGTTGTGCTAAAGAATATTGGTTGGTTACTCTTTTTTGACAATTCGATGGGTTGGATGTGTCAAAGTCTTTATTCATCGCATGCACAACAATTACAGAAACTAAATTGTAATCAATAAAATCAATTTTCCTTGGTTGGTGATTGGCTAATTGTTACACAAGCCAAAACATCGTTATGATATCATAAAGTGGCCAAAATCTACGGAGCCCCCTAGGGGACATGGAGAAGAATTTTTATAAGAACAAATAAGATATCGCAAAGAGATCTCGCAAAACCCCGTTGCAGTTTGTAGACGGTCCCTCCATGTCCACTAGGGGGCTCCGTAAAAATCTGATCAGCTCATTTTCAGACAGGTTTTTATATAAATGGATCAGGACAAAAAGAGAGAGAATCTTTTTTCCTGAAACTTTCAGAATCTCTTTACACAGAGGGGACACATGTTTATTTTATATATATATATTTTACAATATATGAACTGTCCCCTATTTAATTGTCTGTGTCCGAGGGAAATGTATAGCCAATTGTTGGACTACGCACACATGTTAGAGATAATGATGATTCATAAACCCTCCATACATTCAATTTACTTGCTCACTAGAGAGACCCTTTCATTCTTTATTACTGTATTCACTGCAGGAGTAGTGAGTCCATCGTTAGTTCTTCAGATTGAGTGCCGTTGTGTTGTATGGAGGACTGATGATAGATAATAATAGAAGGGCAGGAGAGCTGCACATAGATATTTGTGTCACGATCTTAGTTTTGTGTCACGGTTTTAATTTGGTCTGTCTTGTCATGGTTTTATTTAGCTATTCTGTTCTCCCTGTGTCTTGTCTTCCTCCCTGTCGTTAGTTTTCCCTGGTGTGTCTGATTGTGTTCACCTGTTGCCCTTGTGTTTCTCCTTCCCTGCCCGGCTGTTTCTCGTCTCGTGATTACCCCTCCCTGTATTTAGTCTTGTCTCTTCCTGTGTCGGGGTTGGTTCATTATTTGTCGTTCATGTCTCCCTTCATGTTGGTCACAGTCACCTTTTGTTTGGATGCTACCTCGTACCTGTTCATGGATTCTTGTTTTACCTCGTACCTGTTCATGGATTCTTGTTTTACCTCGTACCTGTTCATGGATTCTTGTTTTACCTCGTACCTGTTCATGGATTCTTGTTTTTTTCAGCTTTTGTAAATAAAGCTCGCCTTTTGTTTCCTTTTGAAACCTGCTTCCTCCTCAATCTGCATTTGGGTCCTATTTTTCCCCTACCCCGACAATTTGTGAGGTAGCACGTTAGATAATATACTTGAAGTGGAAATATCAAACCTTGCGAGGTAAGGTAATTGGTTCTGCATGTTAACCATAAGCCCCTTAAGGCTTTTTTTACAAAGTTGTTTCTTAAATGTGCTGTTCTGCAGATGGCTAGTTCTGTAAAAGTTGGTATTAAGACAATCTCCAAAGTTTAAACTCTGAGACAATGTGCTGGCACTTAACTTTTTATGACTACATAATATGTCATTAATATTATATTTGACCTCTTATGCACATACTTGTTATGTTCATATAGTTAATTGTTTATCTTTTATTTTATTTAAATGTAAAATGGAACGACGATCACCAAAACCCATTTCTTCTTTAAATGAAGTACTTTGATTCTGATATAAACACTGCATTTCAAATTTAAAACAAAGACATTATAATATTAAAAAATGTATAATTAGTCAATTCCTATCAATTTATGATCTAATTCAAATACACTATTAGTTTAATTTATTGATGCAGCAGCATGTGTTTCTAATAAACAGATCACATCCAAAGAAGCTTCAATAATGTATCTCCATCATCTAACCCTACTCAAGGTCCATTTCCTATTTATCAATCCCACGGCCTCACCTGGTTGGCCAAGAAAAGTGTAAGTCCATAAAGTGAACAGGGAATACAAATCCATAAGCATGAATGAATGAATAGATGCCATATTTGTATAAGGATGTATCTCCTGTAGCTGGAATCAATACAACA